TATATATATATGTATGTATATATATATATAGATAGATAGATATCTAAATATGTACAACTTCATAAATCCATTTACACGTATAAAAAGAATCCTAAATTTAATGTACTTGATAATTATTAATTAGCGAGTATTATGATTCCTAACTTGTAGTTGTATAATAAATCTTATTAGGTAAAGTGCATTTTCTTATAGCAAATATGGCCATCCTACTACCACATAAAAGTGTAAGCATATTCTAGTCTAGAGAATTTTGCTTTGTTCAAAGTATCTCACTAAACGTGTTTCATCACCTCATGTTCTTATAGGGACATTTACATACACAATACACAATTCATATGTATTTGCATATTTAAAAATTAAAATTTAATGTTTACATTCATAGCACTCAAATTTTTAAGAGCACATAATAAAAAATCATATTTACTAACTTTTAAAGGTCAAATGCATCTTTGTACGCATTGGTTCAAGGTGTTATCAATACAAATATCAAACTTCAGGTGTTAGACATGCAAATTCATAAAAACGGTGGGGTGGGTCCTTATGTAAATTTCCCTTTCTTTTTTTTTTCCTAAATCAATTAAATAAAAAATAAAAAGTGTTGATCAGGCCCGAAGATAATGGAATTTAAGAGTTTAATATCTTAGATGCTAATAAAATGGAAAGGAAAAACAAAATCTGGATAAATACATTGCTAACTAAATCTGGTTACAGCATTACTTTTGACACCTTCGAAACAAGAAGACAGTAATAAAACGAGAAAAAATGGAAATAAAAGTTTCTTACCAATATCCATGACTGAAAGCATCCAAAGAGCTTGACTAACCTGTGATGCCAACCGTGTTGGAACCATTGTCTCGATTTCACAAAAACATTGAATCAGTTGACTTCGGATTCTTTCACATCTCAAAACAATAGATTCTGTTGTGAGAGCCTGCACAAAAAAAAAAAAAAAAATCAATAACCATGCTACAAACACAACGCAACCACAAAATATTCCATGCAATTATTTAACTGTTATGGTGAATTAGTCGACAAATAAATAGGGCAGCGATTTTAGGTAGGAGATCAAAGAGCGCTCAAAGATTGAATTAAGTTTGAAATGAATCCAACTCAAACCAAGCCAAGGCCAAAATCAGATCAAGCCAGCTGAGAGCAGCTCAAAATATAAAGGGAAATTCATATAAGTACCACACAATTCTATGTATTTACATATCTAATACATAAAGTTTGATATTTACTTTAATAACACTTGGTGTCAGAAGCTTATGCATAAAAAGATGTATATTGCTTTTAAGAAATTAGAGAAGTGATATTTTCATGTGATATTAAAGATTTGAGTGTTTTGTATGTAAATATGTAAGTATAGGTTTTAGATATGTAAATACATAGGAATTGTGTG